AATTACAACAGTCAAAATGTATGCAAATATTTGTGTCTATTTTTCTTCTAATCTGGAGACACTTCATGAGATGCTGGAAGAATGTAAATTAACAATTCCTTTCAGTGAAGAAAATTGCCCCATGTTTTGGTGTAAATAGCTGAGTGGTAAATGCACTTACCCAGGAAATGGGAAACTCAGGTTCTAGCCTGTCAGCCAGAGTGGAGCTGAGCCTGTATTACTCTGATATTCCAATACAATACTCCAATCATTACACTGTGGGTTAAGCAATAGTCAGCCTTAATCTGAAATGCCTCTTTGGAAGACAGCAATCAAGAGAGGGAGTTATGTGGAACCTAGAGAAAAGTTATGGACTAAAGAATATGTGGCTTATTGAGAGGGAGGCTGCCACAGAAGGGAAAAGACTCTGGATTCTAGTCTGCGTACTTGCTTCCAGTAAGGCAGAAACTTTCACATTCTCCTGCTTTCTATCTGTGTTATCCAATGACTATTCAATACAAGATGCAGTGGCTTGGCTTTAAAAGGAGTGCTGGAGGGTAGCTTGATACAGCCTGACCTGTTTAGCACACTCAGACATCTGAGTGTCATATTCAGAAGTTAGCAAGACGCAGGTTCAAACCCCCTTGGCTTGGAGGGGAAGAGGGAGGGTTCTAGAAGGTTAGTCTTCCACTTCCTTGGTAAGTACACTTCCTACTCAGCTATTTAAGCTACAACATGAGAGCCCCTACCCCCCTTCAGTGTTTAACAGCTGTTAGTGATGGGTTTCTTGCTGGCTATGTCTTTGGGACATATATGAATCCACAGTGAGCATGTGCAAGTAACTGCACATGTACCCAGCCAGTGTGCAGCCTGCTGCATATGCTCAGCATATGTGCACATGCTTACATGTCTATAGTGGCGGTAACAGAATTGTAACCTGTGTGTAGGTACCAGAACTATTGCTTATGTGACTAGAAAGATGACATTCAGACACACAAAGGGAAATAGAATTCTACACTGTTTGAATGCTGGAGTCGGCAGTACAGTACCACGATTCTTCTTTTTTACCCTTCACAGACAAAGCCAACCAGGGACACAGAAGGATGTTCCTGCATGCTCCAGCTCGGGCTTATCAATGTGAGTCAAACAAATGTGGGCACTAGCATCTGAGCACGATAATGACATTCTAGGCAATGTTGGCATCTGCTTGCACAGCATATTAACCATGGCATGATTTGTGCAGATGGAAAGATACCTCACCTGTGACCAGGCTGGAGACAATGAGGGGAAGAACCAGCATTTGAAGCATCCGCATCAACAACTCTCCTGGGAAGGAAAAATACTTGATTTGGCGATAGGTCAGCTTGTAGGGTCGGAGAGCAAAGGCCAGAATGATCCCTGACAAAAAAAGGGACAAAAAGGGAAATATGAAAAGAATCTGTCTACATCTCTTGTAAAGCTAGTGCATCTTGCCTATTGACAATAGTCATACCAAGAAAGCCTTTCAACACTGCTCAGTCCCATGCAATAGTGTCAGTGGTGGGGCCTCCCTAAAATCTTCTGCCACCTTGTTCAATGCTGACAAATGCAAGCTGCTACACTTTGGGAAGAATAATCTGTAGGGATCTACATAAATCATGGGGGAAGTTTGAGGTACAGCAGCGCCTTTGATTTCACTCCTTTCGCTGTGCATCCCCCTTCCCCCCCACCACTAAATGGCTGAGAGGCAATTAATGCTAAGGTTTTGTCTCTTGGCCCCTCAGTGGTGGGGGGAGGGGCATGCGGCAAAAAGAGCAAAATTAAAGGTGCCACTGTGCTGTGAACTTCTGCCACAAATTAGGTAGGCCCTGCTGACCCTCACCCATTCTCCCAGCCC